ATCCTATCTTCTCTCCCTTTTTGTAGCAGTAGAAATAAGCATAGACAAATCAGATGACCACAGTCCTAGGAGGAGGGAGTTTAAAAAAACAAAAAAACAAAAAATAAAGCAAAAGTCCATTTATGCTGTCTTAACAGTCTTGTCCCTTGCACAGGTCTATATAATCTTTAGGGATCTGTTTGCACTTTTAACAGCTTTATTAGGAGTATAACCCATGCATAACCACCATTTAAAATGTACAATTCAGTGGTTTATACTATCCACTTATCCTTTGGTATTCATGGAAGATTGATGCCAGAAAACTCTTGAGATATCAAAATCTATGAATTTTCACACCATAAAATGGCATAATATCTGTGTATAACCTATACACATCATCTCATAATTTTAAATCTTCTCTAGATTACTTATAGTATCTAATACAATGTAAATATTTGTTGTATTGTCTAGGGAATAATTACAAGAAGTTTATACATATTCAATATTGTAATTTTTTAGTATTTTTTTCATCCATGGTTGATTGAATCCATGGATACAGAACCTGTAGATCTGGAAGGGCTCACTGTATGCAGAGAATTATAAATCCACCACCACAAGCAATTTTGAAACATTTTAGAAGGTAAAAAGGATAAGGAAAGATGGATCAAGGGTCCTAAGTTACAGTTTTCTGAGGTAAGAAGTTCTGGTGTGCTGTTGTACAGTGGAGTGACAAAATGAATGAAAATTATAGACTATATATTAAAAAGCTTGGAGAAAGGGTTAGCAAATGTTTTCACTGTAAAGAAATAATGAATGTTTGAGGAGATAGGTGTGTTTAACCTGACATATATATTTTTCTTTGTCTCCCTTAAAAGAGACCTCAGTTGCTACCTTGCCCCATTCTCCCATTGCCCTAGCCCTCAATCTATTATATACCATAATGAACATGACTATCCTCAATACTTTGGATTAATGGAATCATACAAAATCTGGAGTCTGTAACTAGCTTTTTTTTTTAACAGCATAATGTTTTCAGGGCTCATCCATGTTGTAACATACATCATTAATATACTTCATTCCTTTTGACTCCCAAATAACATTCTATTGTATGAAGATTGTATGGAGACTACCTTGAATTTATTTGTTTATAGGTTAATGGGCATTTGGGTTGCTTCTTGGGCTGTTATGGATAGTGCTGCTATGGAGGTTTGTTTATAACTTTTAGTGTAGATCTGTGTTACATTTTCTTGAGTGTGTACCTAGGAGAATTGCTGGAACATATCGTAACTATATTTGACTGAAGAACAGCCAGATGTTTTCCAAAGAAGCTATAGCCTTTTGCATTTCTAATTCTGTAATGGATTTTGGTTCTAATTTCTCCATATCTTTGATAACACTTGTGTGTGGGTGTATATAGATATAGATATATAATTTTTTAATTGTAGCCATTCTAGTAGGTACAAAGTGGGACCTCCTTGTGGTTTGGCTTTACATTTCCCTAATGGCTAAGGGTGCTGACCGTCCTTTCTTGTCCTTTTCTGTATATCTCGGGGAAATGTCTGTTCACATCTTTTGCCCTTAATTTATTCATTTGTCTTTTAGTTTTGAAACACAAATGTTCTTTGTATAGTCTAGCTGGAAGTCCCTAACCGAATATATATATATATGACTTGCAAAAAAATTACTTTCCTATTTTCTGGTCGTCTCATCATGTTCTTATGGTGTCGTTTAATGAACAGCTTTTATATGCCAATTTTGTTCTTTCTTTTATTGCTGTGCTTTTGGTACCTGTTAAGAAATCATTGCTTAATGCAAGATTGTGGCAATTTTACTCCTATGTTTTCTTAGAGTTTTAGTTTTAGCACTTATATCTAAGCATTTTTAAATCTATATTAGAGGATTTTTTTTGGATAGTATGAGAAAAGGTTTCGCCTTTTTTCTCTTGCGTATGGCTATGCAGCTATCCCACCATTGTTTGTTCAAAAGAGTCTTCTTTTTGTATTTAATTGTGTTGGCACACTTGTTGAAAATCAGTTGATCCACAGTGTGAGGGTTTATTTAGGATTCTCAATTTTATATGTTGATATATATCTGTCTTTATGTTATTACTACATAAACACATGCAATACCACATTGCTTGATATAGTTTCTCAACTTTCTTTTTTCATATTGTCTTAGATAGAATGCTTTGAATTTCCATATAAATTTTAAGATCAGCTTATCAGTTTTTGCAAAAAAAAATCAACTGAAATTAAGTCTGCTAAACCATGAACACAGGATGTCTTTCCATTATGTGTGTGTATTTAGTTTGAACTATATTTTATAGTGCTCAGAGTTGAATTTTGTACTTTTTGATAAACTTATTTTATTCGTTGTGATGTTATTACAAATAGTATTGTCTATTTAAGTTCACTTTCTTGTTCCTCATTGGTGGTATATAGAAATACAGTTGATTTTTCAGTATTGGTGTTATATCCTGCAGGCTTACCTACTGGTAATTTGTTCACAGTATTAGTTGCAATAGCCTTTTTGGGTGAAATCTTGTCATCTGCATCCTGTTTTCTTTACAATATGGGTGCCTTTTATTTCATTTTTTTTCTCCTAGTTATTTTGGCTAGAAACTCTAATATAATAGAATGTTTCATCTTTATTTAAAAATAAAGCCCAGTGTCCTGGAACTTCAGTAAAGGTTAATAGTTGCAACATTGTAAAGGCACATAATTTGCTAGTGGTGAATCTGAGCTGCTGATCAACACACTGTATCTTTTATTTTTATTGGTAAACATTAGTCAAACATGGTCATTTTTACTAGTTATCTGCCCAACAAATTAATTGCTTCTGGGAGAATTTAGGCTAATTGGAGAAATTAATAAAATCCATCTTTCTCTCTAATTCAGTGAGCAATATGATTGTTGACTATAGACACAGATACAGTGTGGTCCTTGCACAACTGATGACTGTATATAGTACTCAGTGTGCCCATGTCTTTCATGCCTCTGAGGTGCCTCTGCTTTTCTTAACCATTAAGAATAAAACAGAGGAAGTTGGTGCTAGAAGTGACTATCCTCTTCCATTTGAAAAATGAAGAAATTGTTCATTAGAATAAAATGCTGGCCCAGTCACACGCATCCTTCCCTATAAAAAGGCCTTCAGCTCTCAGTTAGTTGGACTCAGTTGGACTCAGTGCTTTAGACTTGGGGGCCCCTGTGGCTGCCCCAGATTTGAGAGTGAGAATTGTTGGATTCCGCAGCTGCAGTGGTCACTTGGCTGTAAACCACACCATGGTGAACACCCCTGCCTTCCCTCTTGGGAAGGCATGTGGCAGCTGCTGTGCACCCGCTGACTTTTCTGACCAGATGGAGCCAGGAGGCCCTCAGAATCTGGACAGTCACCTCCCTGCTGAACACCTGGCTGTCGCCTGAAGGTTATCTGTCCTTACAGTCTTTTGGTTTATATGAGTTATCTGTATAAGGCTAAGTATGAGAGAGGGCTGGGCAGTGTAATGGTGAGTGAGCAGCCCTCCTGTTAGGTCTTCTCCTAGAAGAGCCTTCCTAGAAGGGAAAGCAGTATTTATTGTGCTCCACTTCTCTTTTAAGTCATCCTTGCTATTCACAGCCTTGTGTGACACTTCAAGAGGGAGAGTATGTGTTCTCTCACTAGTTTTACAGAGTAGAATTCTTTCCATTGTTTCCTAGCTGTTTGCAGAAGGATAGTTTGTTATAGGAGTTATTAGGTAGCTTCTCCTGGCCTAGACATGAAATTGGAAGAGCCATACAGGCAGTAAGTATCCAATGGAGTCTGGCTGTTGTTCATAGTTACAACTAGCAATTAATTATTAAAATGACATAGTTCATTGATAACTGACTGGTCATAATTTATTCTGCCACATCATGTAAAGACAGTGCCTTGGCTTCTCAAACTTTCTCTATCTGAATCCTTTCCATTAATAGGAAACAGAGCATATGCTTAGATTGTGAAAGTCTGTATAACGAGTAAAGGCATACTTTAAAGGTGGATGATTTGAATATTTTGTTTCCTTTTAATTTACTCAATTCCATCTCTTTTCTCATACTTTTTCTTTGCCCATTTTGAATGCAGAGAAACTTGAGAGCCACTACATTTTACGTTAGACACAGACACCTGAGTTTCAATCTACGCTCTCCATTTACTCTGTGTAGTCTTGAGTTGTGTGCTTAACCTCTGTGTGCCAGAGCTTTTTACATGGAGAAAACAATAGCTTATGTTCTTGTAAGAGGGCAGTGATGAGATAATACATATAAAGTGCTTAGAAAATCACCTGGCATTTACGTAGTATGTTCTCAGGACATTAATGCTTTATTTTTAAAAGAAGCTGTAGTAATAAAAATATTATTATTACAACTGTAACTACAACTCTTCTGGTCAAAGTGTAATTGCCTATGTAATTCATTTGCATCTTAAAAATGATTAGGGGTGGTCTGTCCATTACACACGTCTTGCTGTCCTAGCAGAGGAAATGTTAAAGGACGGCAGGAGAATGATTCCTGTTTACAGAGCGTGCTGTAAAGTCCTTTCTCAATCTCCCTGTGGCTGTGCTTCCTGAGCACCTAGGGGAGAAAATTCCTGCTTGATGAGATCTGGCCCAGGGTATTCCAATCTTACTTAGTGTTGGAAACCCAATCACATTCTAATCAAGCAAACTGAATAGAAATATTAACGAAGAATCTATTTTAAGATCAGCCTAGAGAAGATAATTTTGAATGTCTTTCAGATTTAGAGAGGAAACAGCCAGGAACAGGTTGCCCAGAAGGTCTGTGGTCTTCTAAGATGTAGCGCTCCTCGTGACTCTCTAAGATTTCTGGTTTTTTAATTTCTGGAAAGTTCCAAGCATCCTGGAATTTTAGCTGGAGCAGCTCACAGTACCTGACAGGGTTTCAGCCACACTGTTAGTATGGGACTGTATCAGTGTGTAATTAAACAGTTAAACAGGGCTTCCTCCTAAGTTTGTCTTTAACACCTTGTCCTTTCTCTCTACTCACCAGGTATCTCAGATGACGACATCATAAACATTACTCTTCCTACTGGAGTCCCCATTCTCCTGGAGCTGGATGAGAATCTGCGCGCTGTTGGGCCTCACCAATTCCTGGGGGACCAAGAAGCCATCCAGGCAGCCATTAAGAAAGTGGATGACCAAGGAAAAGTGAAACAAGCCAAACAATAAAATTTTTCCCACATGGTGGCTGTCAAGAAATACATGTACCATGCGTTGTGTTATGGGTGCTGATTTCTCTCCTTTTCTCCTGATTTTTCAGATATTTCCAAGGCTAGATGGTAGAGTTTGTATAAACTTATTTTGATCCAGATAATGCTTGAAGATGCATAAGTATTTATGTCATAAGCCTTAGGGTTTAGCTTTCTGACTAGTCCTGTTTGAACTAGTCACCAGGCTAGTAACCACTGGGGTTTAATTAGGTCATTTTGTTAGTTCTTGAGATGGGAGAGTCACAAATGGAAATAAAGTGTAAGGCATTCATAATTGAACAAATCTTTCAGACACTATCAACAGGAACTATACCGAAAGGTAGGGGCTGGGGATTTAGCTCAGTGGCATAAGCGCCTGCTTTGCAAGCAGGCAGTCGTGAGTTCGATCCCTGGTACCGATAAAAAAAAAAAAAAAAAAACCGATAGGTAGTTCACTTTTTCATTTCATACTATTTTCTAAGATGATAGTAATAATTACTAGATAATGTACAGTACACCTAAATATTTAATTCTAGTCTTTTCCTTTAGGAAAAGGAAGGCTTCAGTAATAAGACCAGAGACCCATTCAATGGGAAAGTGACAGGTGACTTTTCATGTAGGTTGATCAACACCCTAACAAGGCCCTTTCTTGAGTCCAGAGTCATCCTTTGCTTGACACTCAGTAGAATTCTTCTTCAGCCACTAAAATGAGCAAGATAAATACAGTTATGACTATTTAAGATCTGTTTTTGTTTGTTTGTTTGTTTTGTGGTTGTTTTTTGAACTTTAGTCTTTAGGTACTTGTAGTTGATTTAAAAATAAAGTTGGTGACTGGAGTGGCCCAGAGTGTCTCCGTGTAATTGATAAATGTTCAGTAGATGTCTGAACTAGCCTTTGAACACTGTCTTCCTGAAACACTCACCAACAGGCTTGCTCTTGTTTCGACATGTACACACTCTTGATTTTCTAAAAATTTCAGGTAGGGCTGGGGAAGGTAAAATACAGTGTGTATTCACCTGAGCAGGGGTATTTGGTACATTGAGGCTGTCACATGTGTTTACTGCTCATCAACTAAGGGCCAAAACTTCTGGTCTATTGTGCTGAGTCACCAGGGTGGCCATCGCAGAAAAGATGGTTTGTCAGCCTTGAAAATACTCTTTTCCACAGTGCGACTTTAGATGCTAAGAGTGCGTAAATCATCACTTTTTGAACTACTACTTCTATTTCAAAGCAATTCACATATATTTCAATGGTAAGTCCTGTAAAATATTTGCAGTTATAATATGTATTGCAACTATTTACCATTTTCCCTGCTTTTCTATTTGTAAAATTGGCATTTGAAGGAAACAAATTATAAAGTCTTTGCTACTGCTTGGTCTCCATTGGATCTTTAATTTAGGACTCCTAGAGCTTGGCTGAAGATGGCTGAAGAGATGAATCTGGTCTGCACACTGCAAGCCACCTATGTTGTGAAGACCTTGAGTTCAATCCCCAGTACTACTGCCATCTGAAAAATAGGTTTCAGTATTCTGTTGTGAACTTTGTCCTTTTGGGTATTCTGAACACACTTAATAGCAGTCACAACAAGATAATTGACTCCGGTTTTGCCTTGTACACAGCCTGAGTTATCTCCAGCTGCTGTCTGGAGTCCTGATAGCTTATTGCATGGGACTTCTGCAGGGCAATGTGAGTACTTCTTGTGTTAAATGTGTTTAAAGATGATAATGTTGCTGAGTTGTTTAGTAAGTAATTCTGAGACATTTTATTTCTGAAACAATTTTGGAGCATTAAAAATGACTACATTTATTGATGCTATGATCAGGCTAATTACCATGAGAGAAGGGAGATAAAGAACTGAAGGAGGTAAATAGGGACCTTGTGTCATTGGTTTTGAACTGGAGTTATTTGTACAAATGTGCACATGTATGTGTATGCGTGTGTGTGTGTGTGTGTGTACCCTGCCCCATCCAACTGGCTCTGCCTTTGTCCTTTGAAAGATCCTAGAAGCCACAATTTACCATCAGTCAACACATTTAGTTTATTTTTCCTAATATAATTAAGTTCGCTGGCATAATTTAGATATGCGTGATGATCACACTCAACATTGGAAATTTGTACCTGTACACGATCTGTCTCAGTTTTTCCCATTCCCCTTCCCTTTCCTCGCCCTTCTTCCTTACTTACAAAGCTTTGTTTCAATTTTATCATTTTTTTCTTTTCCTTTCCTTTCCCCCCATCACCCTTTCCTTTCCAATAATTACTTCCTATTTCACAATATCTGTTACACATTTTGGTTTTCACTTATACTTTCAGTGTCTCACATCAGAGAGACAATGCAATATTTACACACGTGTCCAATTTATTTCATTTAAGAATATAGTCTCAAGGTCCCTCCATTTAGCTATCAATGGGTCAAGTTTATCCTTCTTTATGGCTGAATAGTACTCCTTTGGTTAAAAAACATACTTCTTTTTTATCCATTCGTCAGTTGATGGGCATCTAGGTTATTTCCAAGATTTAGGTATTACAAACTGTGCTGCTATAAACATGGGTATGCATACATCACTGTGGTATGATGCTTGTAATTCTTTTGGGAGGATACCAAGAAGGAAAGTAGCTTGGTCAAGTGAGACTTCTAGTCCTAGGGTTTTTTTTAAAAATTTTATTTAAGGAGAAAAAAAAAATGGAAAAAGGGTACAAGTTATACAGAATTTCAAAAAATAAACAGTAGGGAATCACTAGTTAATAGATTACATATTGTCATCTTAGAAATAGTTGTTTAAGTTACAAAGTTAAAGCATATACAGTAGACATTCAAACAGTGAGACCGCAAACAATGATCCAACAAAAACTCAGTAATATGGTTATTTATCTTATATGCTTAAATATATATGCAATTATATCCTTTAGACCACTTTCTTTTTCTCTCTTTTTTACAATGACAACTACACATTTTGGGTTTTAGTACTCCCACAGTTCTTATTACTTTTTTTCTGAAGAGAATAAAACCAAATGTGACATAACAAAACAGTAAGTCAAATCAAAAGGATAGACATAGTACATAATGTAAAAACAGAATACAGGGTGATCAACATTGGTTACCATAATGCCTCTTACAATCTTAAAAGAATTGCCTATATCATCAGTTATAATAAAATTGAACAAAACAGTAAAGAACAAAACCAATAAAACCAAAACATTGGAGACATTACAGGACTTCAAAAGAAGATAATAGTCAAATCAGAATGGGCGTCATAGTGAATCTTATTGTCTTCACAGTTGTTGCCTACACTCTCAAACTTGGTACTATCAAGCAAAACAGAATAGAGGAAAATCAGTCAAAACAAGGTGGTGAGAGCAATACAGGGTTTCAAATCAAGTTAATTGAAAATCAAAGTGGGTTACTATAATATATCCTGATTTTTTATTTATTTTCCCTTAATTAAAAAGATAAAAATAATAAAAAGATTGAGATAAAAGAGGACATAACAACACAACAGCATAGGTCAAAACATAACCATTTAAGCAAAATAGTATCTCACCACAAGATATCCTGACATAAAAGTAGTTACCATAGTGTCTCTTTCCTTGAAATCTTTGAGTATAACTTCGTATACTGTAGCATCAAACATATCAAGACACTGTAAAACCATTCAAGAGAAGACAGTATTACAGGGTATTTAGAACCAACTAATAGAAAATGAACAATAGTTTCTGTATTATCTCCTTGTCTATAAAAGTTTTTGTTTATACTATCACATATAATAAAATCCAATAAGATACAACATGTTAAGACCAATGGAGACAGAAGAACAAAAGCTTGATGGGACTTCAAAACAAGATGATATTAAATCAGCACTAGCTATTATGATGTCTTGTTTTCTCCAAAATAGCTGTTCGAAGCATCCGACCTTCTCTGCCTCATTTCTGTTGAGCTCTTTTTCTGTCATTAGTTGTCAGTTTGTCTTCTTCATTTCACTTTCTGCTCCATTCATTGTGGCCTCTCTGCCACTGTTTCTGGAATCTTAGTATTTTTCTTTTTTAGAATGCCCTGCAGTATTCTCTGTAGAGTTGAATTGGTGGTTGCAAATTCCCCTAGTTCCTCTTTATCCTGGAAGTACCTGGTTTTTCCATCAATTTCCAGGGACAGTGGTGCAGGATGTATCAATCTTGGCTGGAGGTTATTGTCTTTCAAAGCTTGAATTATTTTGCCCCGCACTCTTCGTGATTTGATGGTTTGTGCCAAGAAGTCTGCTGTAATTCTGATGGGTGTTCCTTTGTAAGTGATCTGTTTCTTGTCTCTAACAGCTTTTAATATTCTGTTCTTATATTGAATTTTTGGAATTTTGATTATTATATGCCTGGGTGTAGCTCTGTTTGGGTTGTAGGTGGCTGGGGTCCTGTATGCCTCATACATCTGAGTATCTTTACCTTTTCCCATATTGGGGATGTTCTCCTTGATTATTTCTGTAAATAGCCTTTGCAGTTCATTTGTTTGTATCCCTGCTTCTTCCTTTACATTTTTAATTCTTAAGTTTTAGATCCTCTTATCATCTTCTAGCCTTGTATTGTTACTGCTTGTTTCCTTGTTATTTTTAAGAAGTTTTTCCTTTCATGCTCCCACATTGCAAATCTGTCCTCCAGTTCAGATAACCTATCCTTAGTTTCTTTCAAGCTGTTATGCCAGCTTTCAATAGTTTTTAGTTTCCTGGTAATCTCTTTGAATCTGCTTCATGTATTCTATGTTTTCTCTATTTTCTCTATCAAACAATTCTCCCCTTTTTTTTTTCTGTTCTTCCATTCTGCCATCTGTTTTTTCTTGGGAGGTGTTTAGCATTTCCTTAACTATTCTACTTATATCTTGCTTTACTTGGTTAAATACTTCACTTTTGAACTCATCTATGAGGCTCCGGAGATATCACTTTATGTCTGTTGGTGCTGGGCCTGATATTGCATGTTTTCTGTCCTCATTCCCTTTTGCATTTACCTTTCCTAGATCAGTGTTCACAGGATTGGGGACTGAGGACCCTTTCTTGTTGTTCCCTCTTCCTATACTTTTTGTTCCTTCCATACAAGCCTATATAAGAGGCCCAGTTTCTTTCTTTGTCTGTTACAGTTTGTTTGAATCATGCCGGCTAGGTGTTCCCCCCTACTGCAGTGTACTAGGGAGACACAGACCTGGGTAGCCTATGCTGGGCCCGCCCCTCCAGGTCAGTCAGCCTGCTGAAGGCTTCACATTGGGGTGCACTGCCAAGCACAGGGACCTGATTTGGGCTAGCCTACTGTGTCATAGTCTGCAGTGTCACCCAGGTCAAGCACTCCCCACCAATCCCGCTTGAGAGGGGAATATGTGACTGAAGTCACTGCAGTGTCCTGTTCCGGCTAGTCTGCCTGTTCCCAGAACGTACTCTGTTGGAGCCTCCTAGTCTATGGAAGGGTCCCCGTTCCTCTCACTCACTTCAAGTCAATGCAGGGCTCTCCACCAGCTCTGCTCTCAGGTTCGCTGATTCCTGCTCTCAGAGCTTTAGCATCTCTATCCCTGCCATGCCGATTCAGACGCAGAAGTGGCGGCAAGAAATTCAAGCCACGGTTTCCATAGGCACGGGTTCCAGCTTTAGCACTGAGACTTTAGCTGTTCCAGTCGTAGCACCAGGATTGCATTTCCAGTTGGTTTCTCTCTGCTTAGTTCATTCCTGGGCTGGCAGGGTATATCTCCCCCTGCTTAGGACTCCCCACACCGCACCATTCCTGGAATCTAAGCTGGTTATCTCAGAGAGCCTCTGTAGCTGCTGTTACCTATCTGCCATGTTCTCCCGGAAGTCCTAAATGACACTTAATAGT